CATGGCATCTTTGAATGGAAGGCGTCAGTTTGTCATCCTGGCACGATCTGTTGCTACCGATTGGCCCTTCTTCGTCGCAGCGTATGTCAACCTGTGGTACCTGCAACTGTTTACTCCTTTCGAGGTTAAACTTAACCTCAAGAAGAAGTCCATCATGAATGAATACCTCCCCCGATTTCTCAAATTCTTCAGAATTCGAGACTCGAGGCGCTGATACACTGAAAATGATAGATAAGTCTTGTCTTATTAGACAGACTATTCTTGATCTTATCATGACTGACCTGAATATTCTCATGACTGAATGACCATGACTTGATTCTCACATGACTGAATCATCTTTGTTTGAACTCTGAAAACTATCCCGAGACAATTTAAATAGTCGCTTCGAGATTGAAAACGTGATATTTACTGACTTACTTGACTTGGTAAGGTGCGACTTCAAGTTTCCAGGTAAATTTGGACTAATGGACTGTATATCAGACCGCCACATTTAGCCCGGCTGAACAACTATTATACGTCGACCTTACATTATGAACATAAACCGTAAATCGTGAACATGAATTTATAACTCTGTACTGTATAGGACTGCTCCAGAATCAACTGGTCCCACAAGTACTAGGTAATTAGCTGATCTTGATCTCTAAAAAATCATAACTTGAAATATCATGACTGATAAAACACCTGACATGACTGACTTGAAAGGTTGTTATTACATGAAATCATACTGCTCCGGTTTCAGCTTCAAGCCTCCATGGTATACCCGGCTGAATGGCTATTATTTAAAGCCTCCATGGTAACCCGGACTATTGACTCTTATACACTGAAAACCATTACCTCAACAATGACTTGAGAATTATAACAACCTTTAACATGAAAATTCTTGCCTTGAACATGATTTACTGTTCTGACTTAGGAAATTTGAGTCTATTCCTCGAATTAAATCAAGGAATTTCTCCCTGAAGTCTGCCAATTGATTGACAAAATGGCAGTTCTCGATAAAAATATCTGAGAAACATGATTATTAAGATTTGTTTAGTACAAATGCTTACAAATCTCCTGACCAATTGCTAACTTGACTTGAGTAAATCTAGAACTGAATCTAGAGTTCTTAAACTTAATCCCTTTCTAAGGTTCTAAATCCACTCGTCCACGATACGGGGATCTCTCTGCCCGAAAAATTCTCAGCCTGCTAGTCGTGAAACTGTGCGACTGTTGTGCCTTAGTAAAAACCAGGTAATCGGGTTCCCTACGGGGCGACATCTAATCACTGAGAAAGTTCAACATTATTGAACACATGATAACATTCTGACTGATTACTAAGGCACACAGATCTCTTGACGAGTTGCCAACAATGGCCGATAATTACTGACATAAATCCCGAGGAACTCTAGAGTCATATCGAAAGATACTAAAGTCTAGAGTCATATCTGAATGCCCT